ATTTGTACAACCAATGCAACCCAATAAATTGAAATATTTATGGAAATGATTATAGTTCATTTATTATGATTTAAATATTTATGGAAGATGAATACGGTTCATTAATTATGATTAATACTTTATATTAGGAAATAATCAAAACCTATATAAAATCACATATTAATCAAATGAAATGGACGGTTGAGATTGAGTTGTATTGGTTGCACAAATGACAAGGATTGTATAATAATCAACCTCTCTATATATATATATAACATTCTAAATACAACTCATTATATTTGTATAACCAATGCAATCCAATCAATTAAGATATTTATGAAAATGATAAGAGTTCATTTATTATGATTTAAATATTTATAAAAGATGACTAAGGTTCATTAATTATGATCAATACTTTATATTTAAAAACAATTAAAACTTTTATTAAGTTACATATTCATCAAATTAAATGAACGATTGAGATTGAGTTGTATTGATTGTACAAACGTAAAGGGTTACATAATAACCCACCCCCTCTCTCTCTATATGTATGTATATAATATAATATGTATTCGAATCTTCTATTCATTCGTCCACAACATAAATTAATCCATAGATTAATCAATTTTTTGTTTTTCAAATTAATTTAATATATATGTTTTTTTATATCAGAAAATGTTTGTGAAAGTTACTAAACTATTGTATTTGTATTATAAAACTTTTAAATTGTAAAAAGTGCATAAAAAAACTATCAACCTTATTTGCATCAAACTTGACAAAAATTAACTTAAATGACAAGATATCCCTACTTTATATTAATTTTTAGTGATCGTAACCTAAAAAATTGTAAGCTCTAAGTATTTATTTTATAACTTTTGTCTTTAAATTATGAGGTTCAGAGGTTTGAATAAAAATCAAGGGGAGATCAAAGACAACGAAAAGGGTAACGAAGTGAGGGTGTTACATTGCAGTAGGAAGGAAAAGGGTAAGGCGGCAGCAACACAGGGAGGTTACGTCACCATTGGGATAGGGGGACAACTAGATGTCGGGACCAATATAGGTGTAGGAGGTGACCATAATGAAATGAATGACAAAGAAAAGAGTCAGTGATGATAATGAAGTTGTATGATACAAGTTTGAACTTATTAGCTATTTAATTATATAATAGAAACAAAATGGTAAAATAATCTATGAAATTACATAATTTATGAAATATAAATAATAATTGAATATTAAGGATTAATATGTATTTGGAAAACATGAGATTTGGTATGTGGATGGGAGGATGGGTCCATAGTCATCATTTATTTCTCTCTATTTGGAGTTTGGTGAAAGAAACTTCTACCACCCTCTCTGTTTTTTTGTTTTTTTCCTCGAGTCAATTATGGGTTTGGTGCAAGTTTATATGGAACTAGTTTTCTAACTGTGCATTATGTGATAATGATAATATCATCTTTAAAAGAAATGTTATAGACTAAATTTGAAATACTATTCTAAAAAAAATTTAAACAAATATAAGTGAGAACTACTCATTAACATTAAAAGTTTTGAAGAGGATTTGATAACAATCTTAGAACCATATGCTAATTTAAGTTATCTAACTATGCTTGAGAATCGTGTTACAAAGTACTCTACAAATATTTGACTAATGTTAGTAGTTTGTCTAATTAGAAGTCACAGTTTTAATTGAAATCTCATCTAAGGTGACAAAATCACGATTTTAATTTTATAACAAATTTAATTGAAATCTCATTTTTGAAGTTACGACAAAGAAACGTTCTATAATATTTATAGCGGAAATTAAAGGAGTGCGTAAGTTGTAGCAACAATAATGGAAGTCCAATACGATGCATGAAGAACCACATCATCAAGCTAAGAAAATGGATTTTTCTAATAAAAAATAAAATTAATATCAAGTGGGGTCGATGACCCACATATCAGATATAATATTTGAATTGTAATTAGAGGGGTGTGTCAAACCGTGATAGTATTAACATCAACACGACAGATAAATAATTACCTCATCTTGTCAAATTATCATCATTGGTTTCACTTTTATATTTGC